CAAGAGTCTGTAGAGTCTTATTCTCTTCTGAATTGGCATTAGGAGGCTGGTGACATCCCCAGGCCTGGGCAGATGGTATCAGGTTCTGGTTTGAGGCAACTGAAGGCAGCCCTTAGACTCAGCAGTTAATTACCAACAACTCATTATCAAGGTTCTGTATATTTTCTCCATAATCATCTTACAGAATTGTCTTTAAGCTCAGTATTTGACAAACCAGCTGGTTTAAATTTTGTGGCTTGAATCATTATTTCATTAACAAGAGGACAGCATTCATGATGACATATAAAATATTGACGCAATAGGCTAAATTTAAAAAGATGGAACATACTGAAAACCACATTAAAAAAAACCAAGTATGTGTTTTTATTTAAACCACTAAAAATACTTTAAAATATATTTTTGGTTGAATTGTCTGGTTCTTCTAGAGTTTCTCAGTACTAAGAGGCAGCTTTCACACACCCATAAAAGCTCACATTGTGCATATATGGTACCACCCTCATCAGTAAGGAAGCGACATAATTTGGTAAATTCACCTGCTAGTTAGTAGCTATTGACAGGACTAATCTGAGGCCTTCCAAAACATCAGAAGATAATGAGGTCCAGTACTTTTTTAATTTAAAATAATCTGAGCCAGCCATTGTATTTTACTGAAAATGCACGTTTCTACATATTAAATTGCTCTACATACAGCTTGTTTTGTATGACTTTTTCAGTTCATGGCAGCTGCCTTAAACAAGTTTGAAAGGCTCCATTATGGTCTTTTGGGTCAAAAATGATTTTTTTTTAAGTGCCAAAATACTTAGTTACAGTGAATTGGTAACACAATATCCACACCATAATATGCATATTGTGCATGACAAAAGGCGAATAATTTGTAATCCCCATTTAAAATAAAAGCATAAATACCTACTGTATTCAGCAATTCTGAAATATTCTACCACTACACATTTAAAAGAAACCCAGTGTGTTCATGTGAAAGACAACAATAGTCTGTACTTTTTTTGTGTGACTTCCTGAAAATCTTTAGCTCTTTTTAAATTTTTGGGCTTTTCCCGCTTCTTTAATATGGTTTTCACTATTTAAATGTATTTTAGGAAGTCAGCAAATTAAAATTTATGTGCAAATGACAGCAACGAAGGCAGGAGAATCTATATTAAATGCAACAGAAATTCAGATCAAAATGGTGTCTCATCCCTCTTGGAGGGCCCATTTCAGGCTCTGTCACTCACACCAGGAGCATGCTAGTGCCTGCTGTAGCTGTACATCCACAGTCCTCTTGTCCTTCTTACAGTCCTCACTTGCCACAGATTTACTCCCTCTGCCTGGCGTTTCTCGCAGATTTTTATTGATAACATATATAAACACCAACCTTCATTCTGTTACATTTGTTTAGTGATCCACATGCAGTATACATAATACAGGGACCTGCATTCATTTGCAAAGCCTGAAGATATTGTTCATTATGTTTTATGTGCCAGAACAGATAAAAATTATTCCCAGAAGGGTGCATGTTTAAACTGGCAAAGAAAGATGATTGACATCTACCATAAGTACTTTTGTCAAAGCTTTGGCGTGTTATCAGTTCGCAAAGCTATTCTAATGAACAGTGTCCATACTCACCAGATGTGCTATCAAGAATATGCCAGATACTTGCAAAATTCTGCTGCAGCCTTAATGCCAAATGTGTAAGACACAAACAAGTCAGGCTACAAGTTCTAGATAAATTTGATTGGATAAAGAGTTGAGCCTAAAGGGTCAAAGAATGTAAATAATTCTAGGCAGGAGCATACCCTCCTGGCTAATTTCACTAAATGTGGATTATTATCTCCGTGCTCAAACACTAAATTGCCTTGGATAAATTTGCAACTTTAATACTGATGCAGGCAGAAGTAGAAAATGCTTAATTAAAATAAGGCTTTATATCTGTATCTCAGAAATTAAAAAAACTACAGTATTTAATATTCCTGTTTGTTTATCCTTTTATTCCCAAGTGCCCACTGCTAGCTCACAAACATTATTGTTTACATAGGGTACAAGAACTAAAACAAAGTCTGTCACAAACACATGAGGGGGGATTTAATTCTTTCAGGCTTTCAAGACACCAAGAGCTTGGCAGAGGTTTTCAACAATCCTTTTAGTCCCAGTTTGAAACAAGTACGTACAGAGAGCTTTCCAAATTCCCAGCACATGGCAGACCCGTGCTTAGGCTGGGTTCACATCTGCTCTGACTACCTCAAGTCTGCACAGCAGTAGAAGATATTGGTGAAAGGGATCTTGATTCCTCCTGTGACGTTTTCAAGTATTCCCTAGCTGATCATCATTCAGAAATACACTTTAAGTATAAAATACCAAATAAATTATTTTAATTAAGTAATTGGTATAAAATATTTTGTTAAAGTTTAATTCTTTTGGGGACTGTTGGGACTGATATATTAGAAACAAAACATCAGTCTTTTGTTTGGCTGTGTTCCAGGAAGCAGGTAAAGCACATTTGTAGATTCAGGTGAGAGCTGTTACACAAACTGGGGATATTTCTATTTCGTTTCCTTGAGAATCTACTGGAAAATTCTGAAAAATTTAACTAGATTGTCATCACTTTCTTATCAACCTACCACCAATCATCCAAACACAAACATCACATTGCTTGAACAATGTTGAAAATAGGCCCAAGAAAATACATGTTTATTTAGTGATATTTGATTGTAGTGATTCCTCCACACCGTCCCTTGCAAAGTGAAGCTAAAGATCAAGGTTTTGTACTGGAGACTGTACATCTGCCAAAATATTCATTTAAAAGTCTCCTTACTCCTTCTCTGAACTTAGGAAAATTCCCCACTGTCATACAGCATTTCCACCAGCTTCATGTCTTCCCTCTAATTCCATCTTAGCGTTACTGTGCATTCATACAGAATAATACTTTCAGAATGTAAGTGAATAAAACACCCCAAGTCTATTAGGATGTGTGTCAAAATTACAAACACAGAGGTTGGTATATATGCATGCTAATCATTTCTAGTTATGCAACACAGAGGTTGGTATATATGCATGCTAATCATTTCTAGTTATGCATGAAGTTAATTTACAAAAGAAGATTTACATTATTTTAATGGCATTCTCCACAAATAATATTCAATTATTTCAGTTTGGTTTTGATGCCTTTTTATGTTTTGCTTGTTTGGAGATGTGTATTAATTTGCTTTATCAATAATATTAAAAATTAATGGAGCTCTTATTAAGGTTAAAAGCACCTCAGAGAAGTCATCACTTGTCAGCTTTGTTTTATTACTATGATTACAAAAAAGTTGTGTTGCTATCACTTGGCAAAATGGTTACTCCCTCTTCCCTGGCAGGTTTCAGGTTGCCTTCCTGCTTTTTCTCCTGGAAAGGAGCATTTGGAGCAGTCCTTTAGAGGTGCATGGATGCCCTTGCAGAGCAGCAGAGAGGAATGGCATCCATGTGTCCCCTGTGCCTGGCTTACCTGGGAAACCCCAGCCTCTTCCTCATCCCCTGGGCACACAGAAACTCAGACTCAGCCAGCTCCTGCAGATTTGCTTCCCCAGTAGGACCATCCTAGGCACCCACCTCCTACATCTCTCCTTCCATGGAGACACCACCAACCCTGGCTGTCCTTGGCCCTCTCTCTTCCTGAGCTCAGCTGGGTTCAGTTCACTGGCCTGAAACAGTAGCATAAATCTCACATTGTTTCCTTAACGAGGTCTAACCCTTCCAATTTCTTGAAGGTGATTTTCCTTTTGATTTCTGAAGATGAATGGTAAGATAACACCCATTTGAAATATAAGTGGACAGAAGCATCAGATCAGAAAGGTAGTGAGAAGAGAGTGAAAGGAAATGATGACAGGGCACTTTCTGTTAAGCACTGATCCAGTGAAGAAGGTCTCTCTCTGGTTAATGCAATTTAGTGATAATTCTTTAGAAAGGAGAAAGGACTCTTTCACAGCTGTATCAACAATAGCCACTCTTAAAAAAAAAAAAACCAGCAGCTGACTTGACATGTCAAGCATCACATATTTGGCTATGAAAGCAAAGCATAAGCCATGCTGGCCAATAGCACAAACTTGGAATGATGCCACTGAAAAACTGGTCTGTAAACTGATGCTACCTTATTTCTTGAATTCTAAGAGGGCTTGCTGAGATTTAACAGCAATGCAGAACTACCACATTCCTCATAGATATTTCTTTTCTTGTTACATGAGATCCATGCATGAAGTGAAAAAGAGCAAATGAACATCAGGTTTACATCACCACTGATATGTGAATGATTGATCACCCATTAAATCACATGCAGAGCCAGTAACAGCACACGGGGTAGTGTTAAAGCAAAATGTTTGATATTCTGTACTCTAATTAAACATGGAAATAATATGATGCAGTCTGTATTGTAAATGTTATTGCAGATTATAGACCTAGAGGAGAGGTGTTATGCCACCTTTATAGCCTCCAGTTCCTGGAGACTGTGACTTAGAGCTGCCTCAGGGCTGCCCTAAATTACACCAGTTGGTAATGACTCCCAAAGGGCTGCTATGCATCCAGTGGTTGCTGGAGTGTAAAGTACTTTGGCTATGCCAGCAGCCCATCATTTCACAATGGAGGCTTAGAGCAGCTGGCATGGTGCTTGGAGAAAATCCCCAAGTAGTGGTTTAAGACATTTTTCTAACACTTTTTGTCATGAGAGTGATATAAAATAAAGGCCAGATTTCACAAAGACACTGGGGTTTTTCCATTTTTATTTAAGCATCTGTAGTTTTGGTTTGATAGACTTGGAGATGATGGTTTCTATAGGATTTCAGAACAGGTATCAACCTAATATTGCTTCAGCTTGGCAGCACTCCAGATATCTGCTCTGGCCCCAATTCCCTGCCCGTGCAGTGTAGCACCACAGACTGTCAAAGGCATATTCCCGATTTACATCTGTGTTAGCAGAAGTAGAACTGGATTTCCCCTTGTATATGCAAGTTTTTCAGTTCAGGCCTATATTCCAGGCTTTGCTGGAGCTGCCAAAGACACCAGTTTGCATGAACAGAAGATCCTTTGAGTACATATCTCTGAAGCTTGTTCAAAAGCTGTGCCAACTCAGGCAGAGGAGAGATGGGTGCATTTTTTTTCTGTACAGTGTGTGGGCTGGGCCAACCATTCTTACACAAATATCTCAAAAGGTCAGCCATGAAATTATTACTTAGTACTGGCAGTTTGGGGAGTTGAATTTTCATCTATCTTTAGGATATTCTTAAGTGAACATCCTGAAGACAATAACTGTCTGCTGGCAGCAGAAAATCATCACTCTTAAGCTAAGCTAATGCAGTCCAAAACTCAACTGATGACAGTGTTTTCAAACCTCTGAGGCAAAAAGCCACCACTTTTGATCTTACTAATTTTTCTATGAAACACAGGGAAAAATAAAGTAATTTACAGAGATATACACAGCACAGAAAAGTAACCCTCTGGGAAGATGCCCAGGGAGAGGGAATTACCAGTTCTGTACTAAAGATACCTTTAAAAAAATATCCATAAACCCAAATAACATCAAAGAGAAAAATGATCTTATGAAATGTCCCTGGATGTGAACTCATAAAGGACTGACTTTCAATTTAAGTGGAGAAAGGTGAGTGTGCATACAAGGACTGTGCTGTAACCTTCCTAAAAGGAAACAAAACATACCATCCCCTTGTCTTCCACCAAGTCTCCCCTTTGAGCTGGTGCTGGCTGGCAGATCTGCACAGGGTAGCAAAAGGTCAAAAGGAGGATGGATGAATGAAAGAAGCTAATACTGCACTTTCTCTGTTCCCTACCTCTACATTCTCTGTGCAAGGAGGACATGGTCTAAAACTTCAACCCTCTTCCTGGAAGGTTCAGAAAGCTGTGAGAAAACTTCTTTAGTGCTCTGTACATATTCACAGATAGACACATGATTTCCCAAAAGAAATTGAGGAAAGTGGATCAGAAAATCATAGAATTAATCATACTATAATGATCAGGAAGGGAGATCATCTAACTCATCATTTTGCCTGAAGGCAGTATTGATTTCAGTTAAGCAAATTCTGATAGTCTACTGTCATTCTATTTGTTTAATTATTAAATGATTTTTAATATTAATAGTACCTGTTACTATTCTCTAAGCAAACCATTCGGTGCAACCTGAATGATATCATCATATTAGAATTAATATAGGCCAAATACTAGGGGTCTGCCACAGTCCTAATATGCTTCATTTTTCACTAGATCCTTTCTGGAGCTTGGAAAGAAGCCTAACTAAACTAAAATGCCTTGTACCCTACATATCAAAGGATCCCAGCCAAAATTTCTGTTCACTTTAACAGTGTAAACTTGGCATAAACCCTTGGAAGGCCAATATTTTACTCCATATTTCCAACAAAGCTGGAATACAGTACCAGAGGACAGGAAACTTTTGCTGTGATGTAAAACCTACAGATTTTTCTGTCCTGTGTACTTTCAGAACTTGTTCTTGAAGGCAGGAAGGCTGGGATGGACAAATACGTAATTAAAGGGAGTTAAAACAGGAACAATAACGAACAAATGCCATTATTTTTACCATAGTTCTTGGGGAAGCTAAGGTAGAGATGTAGAAAGGCAGTGATGGTGATGCACTTCACTTAGCATGGATTCATGCAGTGCAAAGAGCTTAATGCCTGCAGCTGAGCTGGGTCTAATGGGCAGCAGTTGTTTCTGTGAAAATGGAGTCTGTGAGAGACAACCTGGCTACTGTACCTGTCTGTGGTGGCTAGTGGGATTTTCAACATGCTCATGACCTTTTCTTACTTATTTTGCTTAATTTTCATCCAAAAAAAAAGCCATCATCTGACTGGCCATCCCAACCTGAATTTTGGAGTCTGAGCCCATTGGTGAGGGTTTAGTGAAAAGAAGGAGGGAGAAGAGGGGGAGTCTGCAAAATAAATCTGGGGCTGGGGACAGAGGGGAGCTGCTACAAGACCTGTGCACCTGACCACAGACATTTTTATAATCTTTTTATATAGCTTTTATATGTCAATGTATGCATATGTAAAGGTAATTCTTCCTATACTTATTTCTCTCTCAAAAAAACAGAACCTGCTGTAAACCTTCTGACAGGCTAGCAGAGACCTCTGCACGCTGCCTTACACCACATAGACTGAAAACCCTTTCCCACTCTACCTGTCTCACAGCAGCCCCACAGGTACTGAAAAGCTCCTGCAGTCAAATCCAAATGAGAATAACCCCACCAGTGCGCTGCCAACAACCCCATGTCCTGCCAGTTTTGCAGACTGGTTCATTGTTGATATCCACCAGTAACTTCATGGCTCTTGTAGGACACCAAGCATAGGAAAGAAGATCTTGGTCTCACCAGAACTGGGGACTCCCAGGCCTCTGTCCTATCTGAAAAGGCTTTAAAGTAGGAAAGAATTTTCCCTGTATTTTCTTGCCCGATACACACAGGCAGGAGTATAAACTTACCTCTGTGGAGGCAAGGAGTTTTAAGAATTTATCTCTTGAAACAAGCATTCAACTCAGAAAGTACTGTGAAACCCATCATATTAATCAACATAAACTTGAAATTTCTTAAGGAAAGAAATTTAGATGGTCTAAACTGATCCAGTTTAATAAGTATCTCATTTATTATTTATATGCCTTATAAAGCTCCTAGCACATGAGGAAGCTGAGTAACTAAGTAAGGAAGTTTACACAGCAAAAACTTATTACCTGTTATCATTATTCCTTTACTGTTTTGATGTCTGCATGCTGTGTATGTTTACACAAAAAGTCAGACTCTCCAACATGATAATGTGAATTTAATAGAAATGTTCTGGCTTAATTTTTATTGTACAGCAAAATACTGCTCTGCAAGGTTTAAGTATGGATAGCTGGTAAGGATGAGGTCACAAATATCAATACTCCATGGAGTTGCAACAGAGATAGAGTGGCCTGGTAACTCTGTTTTTCTAGATTCTGACAAGGCTTTGATAAAGTGCGAAAAGAAATACAATTTTATTCCAGACCATGCAGAGTCAAGGCATTGTTTACTTCCCCCCCACCTTTTCTTTTTTTTTAAATGGTGGCTTTCCTATCAAACAAGATCAGCTTCAATCTTAGGTCACCGTTTGACATTCCAATTACATGTGTGTCTTTGTATAAACACAGAGTATTTTTCAGTGAAGCTCAGCTCTATTTAACAGATGAAAGTGGATTCTAAAGATTGAAGTTTTACCAACAAAACTCAGAAGATCAGCAATTTAATGATATGCAGCCAAGTAAAATACCTACACTAGACTGAATCCTGGTGTGCAGGACAGCAGGAGCAGGATCCAGGAGGCAAATCTGGAGTCTTGGGGTTAAAGAGAATTCTTTCTCAATAGTATAAGCACACAGATTTTAATTGCATTGGTTGTTTCTTCCAGGAAGGAAGATCTTGTTTGAGATTTCTCATCTGTGGGGAGGAGGTGAAGGGAGGTGGAGCAAACGCATGACAGAATATTTTGGGGGTATTGTGGAAAAAAGTGTTTGCTAATCCTAGCAAAGGAAAGATGCTGCTGGTTTTCCCGAGTCTCCTGCAAAAAAAGGCTACTTGAAAAGTGTAATGATTTTTGACAAATTGTCAAAATCTCTGAGGTGGCTTAGATGCTGTCAGAGCATTTTTCTCTTACCTCACACAAAGCTTTTCAACTCCTCCTGTTTTAGCAATCCTAACAACAAAAAATCATCAGGTATTCTTTTGCTATTTTAAATCACTATTGTTTCACTGTATTTAATCATTAAGGAACCAGAAGGGACACATTTCATTGAAAAATGTTGATTTGACCCTTTGTAAACAGAAACTTGAAACATTTTAACAGGGTCTTCAGACTGTTTGGGCAGAAATAAGGAAACATCTGGTTTGAAGCACACTATCATATTGCATTGTTTATGTTGATAGCTTGAGTTCTTTGCTGTGTATTTTTATTTATGACAACTGAATGCAGAACATTTTTGATTCAACAAAGTGCTTTCGTTCTACAGCATGGGAATAAGGCAATCAAAGCTGAGGTGACTTGACTGATTTCATTTAGAAGGTGGATTCCAGCAGGCCTATTAGTGTTGGAGAAGGGAGGGGGAAGGAAAGGATGGAGCAGGTAACTAGGGGATACAAATTAAAAAGGGTGAGAAATCTGGGAAAGAATCCTGCTGATGGTATGGACTATATGAGAAATTTCCACGAGTCACTAAAGCCATGGGAAGAAATTGCAAGAATCTGTCCAAACAAAAAGGCAAGAATTCTATATAGATGTTTATTTTCCTTTGTTTTTTTAATTTTTTTTAACTGGGAAACTTGCAAAGTGACATCAATGCTTCAATCCTCTTGTACCATATGCACAAAAATACATACATTTAAAAAAAAATTTCTTTGTGTTTTCTGTATTATTTCATATTTAAGCAGCAAACCAAATGATGCATAGTATAAATGTAAAATGAGTCAAATGCCAAAGTAACAGTGAAAAATAAATAACCAAAAATAATATGGAGTTATACCAGTAGTAGCAGAACCATCACATGTCAAAGAAAGTTCCTAAAAAGGCTTTTCATGACACTGTTTTCACCAGACATTACATATATATTAAATATATGTATGTTATGTACTGCTTAAGAGCAAAGTTTATGATTATTAAAGACACATTAAAAACCTCTATTTGCTTAGAAAGGAGTGCAGGAAAAGTACTCAGGCTCTAAGGAAATCTGTTTTCTAAATATTTCAGGGATGCTTTAAGGGACAGGAACAGGCTTAGAAACTCTAATAAGCACTGCACATTTTCAAAGCAGCCCAGGAAGGCATTTATGGTTCTGACTTTTCTGTTTAATTTATTCTGTCCCATGTTTCTATTTAGTGTACAAAGTGCTGGTTTTGAAGCCAGAGCAGCTCAGTTAATTTGATTTCAGAGCTATTTCCCATAGATCATTCACTAGGACAGAGCTCCTGGAACAGCAAGCAGAAGCCTGACTAGCCCTAGTGCTTCCTCCCAGGCTATATGTTATTTTCTTAAAGACTCTTATTAGGCTTTCTGTTTTCAGCCATGTTCAGCAATTCAGAAGCAGCAGAATTCCAGTCAAAGGAGTAT